TCGAGTACGTTAAGCACAAGGCTGACGTCATCAGCAGCTACGCGGCCCTGGAGAAGCTCATCGAGGGAGTCAGCGGCTGGAGGCAGGCTCACGACTGCAAGCTCAAGCAGCAGGATGTGCTCAAAGCGCTGGACACCGCCACGACGGATCATGACACGCTGACTGAGACGATTGCGGGCATCAGGGCAGTCAACAAGAGAGCATCCGACGTCCGCGGGAAGGACACGAGAGCTCGGCGCGACGGCATCAAGAGGATCAAGGCTCTCTTCACGAAGACGAATGTGGACGAGAGCTTGGCCATGGCGTTCGCCACCTACCTGTTCGAGCCGCCTCAGGACAGCAATTCGCACACTATTCATCCTCGAGCGTGGAAGAGGAGGGGGAAGAGGAGGAGGATGGGGGAGGAGGAGGGGGGGGGGAATGAGAGGGGGGGGAGGAGGACGAGGAGGAGGAGGAGGACGGGAGGAGGAGAGGGAAGATGAGGGATTGGAGAAGAAGGCGTTTGCCGCCTTCTGGACTCCCGTCTGGTCGACGGCGTTGCCGCTCGTCGTTGCGTCGAGCTCGGGCCCCCTAATGCAACCATGTGTTTCAAATCCCCGTTGAGGACGACAAATCCTTGGCGTTCGACTCCGAGAAGTTCACAGTCGATGCCCCATTCGTCGTGTCTGCCGAATGCGACATGGAGATTGCAAATACGCTCCGTGAGTTCGTCAAGGCAAACAACGACAAGCTGGACCGTAAGTTCAACAACTTGTATGCGAAGATGAAGGGCGACTCGTGCATGTCGCAGTTCTCCGATGCCATCGCAATCGACTGGCAGCAGATCGGCATCGAGCTCTTGGATGGGGCAAAGGATGGCTCCAGCAAGCCTTGGCTGTGCGTGGTCAAGCCCTACACTTGGACCTGGGATGCCAACGCGTGGCCGTTCTACGGGCTGCCCTCGTTTGTGCACGTCGTGGCGGGCCAGGTCATGATCAAGATGATCCCAATTGGTTCTATGACCGACGCTGGTTTGATTGCAGTCAGCTCAGCGCCGCATTTTCTCAAGGCGCTGGGCGAGTCTGCCGAGAACGACACGTTGCTCTACAAGGACGGCTTCACGGTGGTGGTTAAGGAGCGGGAGTGCGTCTTCATCCCGTTCGGCATGATGCCATTCGTGACGGCTGTGCCTCCTCCTGAGCCCGAGGCCGACGAGAAGTGGCACGCGAAGGTGGTCGTCGCGACTATATTCAAGAAGCTGAGCAAAGACGAGGAGCAGCGCAAGGGGACGGACATGATCAAGCAGAGCATCACGGCGTCCTGCCAATCAAATTCGGGGTCTAAGACGTGGCAGGGCCTCAAGGACGGCTTGGAGGCATGGGCGCAGGGGTGATGTGAATCCTCGTGTGCCCTGAGGGGGCTTGAGGGGGCTCTGTGGGACGTTCGGTGGGCCTTGGAATTCTGAGACGGGCTGATTCGGGCAGACTGCATTGGTAGGCAGGGCCACCGTAGTTGCTTTCGCAATGTTCAGCAGAGAACATGTTTTGCGCTGCCCCTTGCCAATTAGAGACTCTTGAGGGCGAGGGGCGGATCGTGTGCAGTGGTTTCGATCAGGCGCAGGCGGCCCACAAAGGGTCCCATCGTGGTTTGCTTCCTGAGCGGCTTCCGAAAGTGATGTTATTTGTTTACTATGTCTTCATTCTACTTGTAGAGGAGGAGCTGAGACGATCCCAGAGGCGGCCTAGACAACCCAAGAGAGCCCAGACGGTCCCACGAGAGGCCCACGAACTGGAACCCGCACCAACAACCCTAGCTCCCCGCCCCAAGATGCTTCCAGGAGGCATCATAAGGCCCCCCGAGAATCTACAATACGCCCCCAAGATGTCTTGAGGATGCCCATAACACGCCCCAGGAGGCTTTACGCCCCCCCCCCCCCCCCCCCCCCCAAACACACACCTCACTCTTCAACTTCTCTTCCCCCCTGGTGGTGGGGGGCCAGCTGAATGGCGCAAGCCTCTGGGATAACAACTGCCCCCCCGCCGACCGCGGATGGCGCCGCGTAGATTGAATTGCGTGGGGTTCGCCGCATTGGTCGGCATCCCGCTTGTCGCACCGCATATGCTGCGCCACGTGTAGGACATTGCACAGGTTGCACCACATGAGTTGCACCATATATGTTGGAATATCTACGCATTCGTCATAGCGTGCGCGTATCGATGTCAACACCTTCAGTGCGCTTCCATCTTTGCGCCACAGAGATTGCACCACCCCCTTCTAGGCAGTGCAAACCTGCTCATTGACCAACGCCGCTCTGATATTGGCCCGTAACCATGTACCTTCAACAGTTCCCCAAACAGCAGCTGATGTTTTGGATGCGTCCAGGGCCTTCGAGGCCCCCCCTGGTGGAACTCATTGGCCCAGCTGGATTGGATAACCATTAACCTGGCATGTAGAGTCACAGCCCCCACTCGCGCGGCACAGTGGCCTTTCGCGGGGCAGCAGCGACGACGTTGCAGGCGCGCCCGTGACCGCCGCATCGTGTCGTTCTCCTCATTCCCTTGCTCATCCATGCTCTCAGCTGTTTCCTCTACTTCGCCATCTGTTCTTGCGGCTACCTGGGTCCCTCCCCTCCTGGGAAATCCTCTCCCCCATCTCCTCCTCCTCCTCCTTGCCCTTCTACCCGCCCTTGTCTTTGATCGCCGCCATGGTAGATCGAGTGCTCACGGAATCCATGCCCCCCATACAACGTAAATGCGAGCATGCGTCCTTCCCTTCGCTCATTTCCCTCATTGTCGACGTTTTCCTCTTTCTGGCCCGCCCCCTCTCCTCCATCTCCTCCTAGGTCCGCCTCGTCTGCCCCCCATGTGGTGACTCATCGGCACGTCATTTGATTGCCAATCGTGCTGCTCCTTGTCATCCCCACTTCCTCCTCACTCCCTCCTCTCCTCCTTGCCATTTTGGCTCGAATCCTGGATAGTGCGATCTTATTGCGTCAAGCCGTGGCGACGCAACGCCGTATTCACGGGCTAGTAGCATGCCTGTGACGTAAAGGGCTTTGGAACGGAAGTTCGCATGCGACTTCTTCCGATTGAGCTCGGGACGCTTGGCGTCCCGTTCTTTGCTCTGCGAGCCGTTGAATGTTTGAACAAGCGCTAGTCGCCAACGGGTAGCGTTCCTTGGCAATGGCGAACTCCAACACGTTCGCCGCTCGCTGTCTTCGGCATGGAATGCAATGCCGCATTGTAACCATATGCGAGGCGACACAACAGTTGATGCGAAGCACGACCGCAGACGTTGCGGAACCACCCAGGCCCGCGGGCCAACCACGACGCAACCACGACGAACCCCCCGCCCTCTTAGAAGGCGCGCTGCGCTCGTAAGGTCGTTGCTGAGCGCCTTTACACGGTGTCCCCTGATTGTTTCAAAGTTTGCCTCGGGTTTTCCTGAGGTTTTCCAGGGGAAATCGAGGCTGAACTTATGGGAAAAAGGGGCCTCGTTCCTTATTTAGGGTTCCTTAGGTCAACGCCTCGACTGTACCCCGGATGGGCCGTGGAGCCCCCAGACTGCCTCAGCGAGCTCCAAGGCGCTCCCAGAAGCCCCTGGGGGGAATCCGACAAGCCCCTCCAAGACAGCCCAGATAGCCCCCACGTGGCCCCAGATAGGTTCCAGACCAGAAATACACAGCCCAAGAGGCCACCAAGAGGCCACGAAAGACCTCCGAGAGGCGTCCCGAGAGAGCCCGAAGAGCCCAAATCTCTGATTTTCATGTGTTTTTCACATGCTTTTCGGTGTCTCGCGTTCTCGACCTCCCGACGCTCC